CTAACTGAACAGAAATTAGCACTAAATGTGAAAACTCAGCAAAGCCGCTAAATACCAAAGGGTTAGAAAGACCACAAACAAATGAAACTCAAAGCTACGAAACCTCTTGTTTTCTTTTCATAAAAAGAAGAAGAAACCAGAGAAAGAGAGAGAAAAGTAGTACTAGTACAGTACTCTCAGCAGTTGTGGGGAAGACAGGCCCGGCCCCAACAATGTTGGACCCACCAACCAACACCCATCCATCCATTCCTCCCCTATAAATGGACGCTTCCCCCCCCACAACATCCGGCTCAACTCAGGTCTCCCTCCGCCCCGGCCCCAAGTCACAGCCTCGCCTCCCCTACCACCATCAGCACCTACCCGAAGCCAAGAACCACCTTCCGCCCCTCCACCACCTGGCCGGCGAGAACCACCAGCCTTCCCTTCCCGACCCCAACACCGACCGACGGATCAGGCGATGGCTGTTGAGGCCACGGCAGAGAAGAACACCGGCGCCGCTGCCCCGGAGAGCGGGGACAGGCGCTCCCGCTTCAGGCGGATCTGCGTCTACTGCGGCAGCGCCAAGGGCCGGAAGGCCAGCTACCAGGACGCCGCCGTCGAGCTCGGCAAGGAGCTGGTACTTGGTCTTTCTTCTCCCCCTCCCCCTCCCCCTGTCACGCTCACGCTCACGCTTACGCGTAGAAATCTTTTCTGTTGGGTTTATAAATTTTGCGGCAACGGAAATCTTCTTCTCCTCTTTTATTTCGCTCGCCCCCACATGTTGGCCTTGTTGTTCGTGTTTGTTTGGGGATGGCACGTCACCAGCTTCTGCCTGCCTGCTGGCTGCTGAGCTGTAGAACGTCGTGGGGTGCACGGCGCACTGCATCTGCATGGATCACGCCTGTATGATCATACCTCACGCGCCACGCTGGTTGCATAGTGGCTCGATCACGCCTCACGCACCGCGCGCGCTGGACAAATCACAAATGGTACTACTTGCTAGAAGTTGCTGCATCCATTTGCCATTTCTGCTCTCTCCGAAATGGTCCGTCATGGCTGGGTCATGGTCATGGTCACGGAAGACAATGATGGCTTGCTTGCTTCCCCCAAGGAACGATCTTTCATGTTTTGCTTCTTGCATATACTACTACTATTTCAGTTTCAACACAAGAAATCCCACCTTTAATTTGGTTTCTTGTTTGCGTTGCAGGTGGAGAGGGGCATCGACCTGGTCTACGGAGGAGGCTCCATTGGGCTCATGGGCCTCGTCTCCCACGCAGTCCATGATGGAGGACGCCATGTGATTGGGTAACTTCATTTCATTGCCTCCCCACCGTATATCATAGCATAGCTCCCTCCCTCTCTCTCTCTCTCTCTCTCTATCTATCTATCTATCTATCTATCTTGTTTGATGAGTGGTGTTCCTGTGCGTGCATGCTTCCTGCTCCTTCTTTGTACGCATCAAGATGGCAGGCAGCCTTTGGTTTGGTTTGCTTTGATCTGGGGCCAGGGCCAGGGCCAGAGGGGGCAGCAGTGGGAGGCATTTTGAATGCGTCTGAGTTCCATTCACAGGAGTGGAACCACCTTTTGGACTCGCTTCCGAAAGGCTCCTAGCCTGCATGCTCCAAATGGACTTCCCTCCTCCTCTTGGAGTGCCCCTTCTCTCGTCCCTCCCTCTAATTATTCCCTACCAGGACTCCAGTACCACCAGTGCTCATTCAGTCCATCTCCATCTCTCCCTATACATGCACAGCACGGTCCAGCTAGCCAGTAGTAGAGGTGTTGTGCCTACGCTAGGAGGAGTAGTGGGCACTGGTTTTGCCAGTTTCTTGCCATGGCAAAAAGCTGTGGCCTTACTTACTGTTTGACTGCTTTATGCCAACAACTGACGTGTCTATCTGTTTGCTCTTCTCTTTTGTCCGGCAGGGTCATCCCCAAGTCCTTGATGCCCAGAGAGGTGAGCGATCCATCTACTACTCTACTCCCCCATTTGCTTCATGCATGTTTCTACTTTTACTCCGTTTTGCTAGGCATGCGTGCGTGCGTGCGTGCCATATCCACTTCAATTCTCTCTGCATTTACGTTGCTCACATGAATATGGTGCGCCGCTCCAACGCCATGCTCCCTTTTAAATGTACCACTACGACTATCAATTCAAAGCTACTGCTTCGCTTGCCTTGCCTTTGGACTTCACCTCACCGGATATGCAACCTACTCCTTGGCTGAACATAGTAATAACTTGAGTTTTTTACTACTACTACCACCTATAGCTGAACATGGATAGCACTTTTACTAGTAACTGTCCTTGTTATTGTTATTGACCAAGGTACTAGTACTACTATGGAGAAGTAGAAATGTGTCTAGCTGAACACGTCCTTTTCTTGTTTATTTATTACTGTACTACTAGTACTATATGATGAGCTCATGCAGGTGCAGTACGTACCGTACAGAAATGTGTGTGCGGTTCTTTACATGCAAATTAAAAACTTACTTTCTCAGGACCTTTTTCTTTCGTTGCATTTGCTAGTTTTAGTAGAGGGTTTTGAACACATGATCTAATTCGAAGCTGAAATGCGCAACCATTAATGGTACTGCCTGCTTAACATTCCTGTCACTGCTTCAATCTTCAGGTCACTGGAGAGCCTGTTGGGGAAGTCAGAGCCGTCTCCGGCATGCACGAGAGGAAGGCCGAGATGGTTCGCTCTGCTGATGCCTTCATTGCCTTACCCGGTATGAGAGAATCTTATCTTAGTTGCTCCCAACATGGATGGATCTCCTGTCAAGTGTGATTTGAATCACTGGATTCTTCAATGCAAGATCTGAAAAATCTCCATCTCTTGCACCACAGGTGGCTACGGGACTCTGGATGAGCTGCTCGAGGTCCTCACGTGGGCCCAACTTGGGATCCACAAGAAGCCGGTAACGACCAATTCTGATTCCTTGTAGCATCAACAATTCGATCGTCTCAAAAGCTTAATTATATGCTCATGATTGCGCGATAGTTTAACCATCATGCGTGCTGCCTGCATGTTTCCGAATCCCTTGCTTGTCTGATCTGCGGCTATCCAGGCAATTAGTTTAGCCCAAAGTCGTGTTTAGGCCTTGATTGTGGCTTGGTGGTGCTCCCAGTCCCATCCCATGTGATTGGCCGGAAGCTTTCGCCATCTAGAGGATGGCAAATTATTGATCAGTAGTTTAAGCAGCCTAGCATCTCAGAGACCAACATATAAGTTTGGGGAGCATGCGATCCGCAATCTCCATTATTTATACTGTAGGTATTATTAGAATTTAGAATGATGTTTGGAGGATCTTGTGCCAGTCGGATTTACGTTGAAAAAGGAATGTATTGTTGGCATCTAAGGTAGAAGACCGATCCACGAACCACAAGTTGTAGAGGAGTGGACGGTTTGAATAATCTCTTTATTAACTAGTAACGAATGTTCTCCACTTCGATTTATCATATCTATCACTATTATTTGTGCTTGAGGGGCCCTACCAAATGTTGTATTCATGATATCTAGGTGGAACGGATCCATGTTAGTATTTTTCGGAAGAAATCTGTTATGCTGAATCTTAATGCTTAGATCCCCCTTTTACTATTCTCAATCAATACAGTATTACAGTACAGTAGCAGTACACATTAGCAGCCAGTAACTAGTAGGGGTTAACGACTGATCTCTTTTGGTGGATATTGACCGAGCAGATCGGGTTGCTGAACGTGGATGGGTTCTACAATTTCTTCCTGTCCTTCATCGACATGGCTGTGAGCGAAGGATTCATACAGGAGGACGCGAGGCACCTCGTCATCTCAGCTCCAACCGCCAAGGAGCTAGTTCTCAAGCTCGAGGTAATTATATACAGACCCAATCAATATCGTTACTGTTACGTGGCCACCGTCAGTCAGTGTGTTGACATGTACTAGCATGCATGAATTTGCAGGAGTATGTTCCGGACTACGAGATCGGGCTGGTGTGGGAGGATCAGGGCCAGATCACGCACGGCTTCGTGCCGGAGCTGGAGCCCGGCATTGCGTCGTCATGATACGATTCATCGTGGAAGCGTTTCTGAACTAAGTAACATCTGACCGTGCAAAAAAAAAAGAAGAAAAAAAGATGGGAGTGTGCTAGTCCTTGTCAGTCGTAGCTTTTGCCTGTCACTGCCAGTGGCATGACAGTGTTAGCATTGAGTAGCAAGTAGTGGTGCGGTTGATGATGGGAGTTCTTTTGGTCGTAGCTTAGGTACTAGAAGTAGAAGGAAGGGATTGCATGTACAAATGTGTCATGTAGGAGCAGCAGCAGATGTGTGTTCCTTAACTATCAATCAAGAATGGGAAAATTCGTCTCGCTCCGTGTGGATCTGTTTGCTTGCACGTGTGTGTCGCTCATGGATGATGTGCAAACAAATGATGATTCAAGCCGTGATAACGGAAGAAACGAAGTGTTTGTAGGCCAGTGTGCCCTAGACAGCTAGACTAGATGAAGATGAAGGAGGAGGATCCGCGTCGTTGGTGGAAGGGGCACATCGTTTGTGCGCTTTTGGAAAGCCGGGGCTGTCGCCGTCGCGCGCACGCACGCACGCACGTCGGCGATGGGACCTGTCCCTCCCGAAGGCACTGAGAGAGAGAGGTCCGTGTCGAGATGGTGTGTGTGTCGGCAAGGGACAGGCAGACACCGGTGGGCCTCGCGGCGGCGACAATGCGGCTCCCGCCCGTGGATGGATTGCCTGCCGCACGCGCTTCCTTCCTTCTTTCTCTCCTTTCTTTCTTTCTTTCGGTTGAGACGCCGTTTTCTCCTCCTGCTTCCTCCAAAGGCAGGAAGAATCTGCTGCTTGCTGCGGCCCATAAAAGGAGACTGACTTTGGCTGGACTGGCTAAGGTTTCAACTTCAACAGGCTGCCCTTAGTCTATGCGGCCGGTGCGGCGGGAATGGCCATGGATGTGAAAGGAATGGCCGTGTACGTCTTGTTTAGGCGCGCACGTACTACTCCTACGTGATATAGTTTATTCAAGGAGTTGTCTTCGTTCAGCATAGGATATGTGCATATTCGTGCGGTTTGGTCGATGCTCTTTTTCTCTTCCGTTTCCACGCTTCAGGGCCATTTTCAGCACACACTTTGCCGTCTTCGTTGCCTGTCTTCTGTCAATAATTGCCCATGTTGCTTTCTACCATCTTTCATTACGCATCGGCATCACCACACCAACGCCCCTAAAAAAGAAGCAGCACCATCTTTACCGATCGACCTCACCCTGTCAGTCACCCACCCTTTCTCCATGGATTCCTTCCCATGTTTTTTTTTTGACAGCAAGGTTGTTGGTTCAACACATCAACAAGTATTACTACTTGTGCTACTCACCATCAGGCTGGTCATAATGGGAGTAACATAGGTAGTAACATAGATGCCACATAAGCAAAAATGGTGATGTGGCAAGTAGTTAATGAGGAGAGAGGCAAATAGAGTAACATAATATGTTACCATCACATAGCGGTTTCCAATGCATAATGAGTCTACAAAGTAATAAATGAAGGCAACTACGTTACCACACCTATGACACTACCCACTATGAAGGTAGTAACATAGACTAGTAACATATGTATGTTACTAGTCTAAGTTACTCCCCACTATGACCAGCCTCAGAAATTCAAACGACTAAGGGCCTGTTCGGATAACCACCTGCTCCCTGAAATTTCGGAATCTAGAAAGTACCTACATGCGTGCTCCACGATTTTTAACTGGAACTCCGCCCGCTACGGGAGTGGCCTCGTGGAGCGGCGGGTCTCCGAACAGGCCCTAAATCAAGTAAATGAAGCTAACCTTCCTCCATCTCAGCTCTTCATATCGCACTTTCCACTTCTTCACCTGCCGTGGATGGATTCCACGCTTGTTGGTGACCAGATCAACTCCCTCCCTGTGGTTACCAGTGTGTTCTCTGAGACCACGTATGTTAGTACTGCTTTTTTAACAGGATGGCAAGTTGGAACAATACATGCAACCAGGGTCGGTAGGTCCTTGTATCTTCTGCGACTGCTTTACTCACTATGTCAAACACCAAGAATTCCTTGTTTCTATCGAATAAATACTTACTTGACTGCCAAAAATGCAGACTTTCAAACTGGATGCACCTACCTGGACTGCTTCACGGTTAATACATGGACCAGGCACTCAACAAAACTTCACCAACAATGCAGCAAGAGACCCAGAAAAATCAGACGACGACCCGCTGATGACAACGCTGTAATTATATACTTCTACTAAGACTAGGAGAGCTGAGAGCAACCCGATAACATTTGTATCCATCCTTAGCACATGTTTTCAGGAGTTGTTACTCGACACGACACCCCAAGTAGCATACAAGAAAATAGCCCACAAAAATAAAGCCTGCTCTGAACTCAACTGTCTATATCATCAAGTACAACAGGAATTGCAGAGGGTCTCGTTATTTTTAGTTTTTTCATTACTGGTTAACAGATTACACAAAGGAAAGGGATCACCGCTTTTCACTCGAATGGAACGGGCGAGCCATGCTTCTTGTTGACAATGGCCATGGCCAGGTACCTGCTGCCCATGCCGATGGGCGTTTGGTCATCAGGCCCTTCCCAGAATGGGGCTTCTCCGTCTCCGACTAGACGCCAGTAGCCTGTCCTCAGAGACTCCGCCTGCTTCTCGTCACAGTTCTGCATAAGGGCTTCCACCCGGAAGTTGATACCAAGAGAACCCAACAACTGGGATTGAGTCATTGGTCCATGGACGGAAATATCATCTGCAGATATAACAACAGACACAAGCCTAGTAAGAAATGCTTGCCTTGCCATGAAAAGTACAAACAAGCAATAAGAGTTCATAAACGTTGCAAACCTGAAGCATCCTTGGCAGAGTGCTTGATTGCAGCAAAATCAACATAGGCACTGAGATCAGCAGACCCAGGGTCGTCTAATATGTGAACGAATTTGTGTTTGCGGATTGCCTGCATATATATCGTTGTTTTCTTAATGTACATGTCATTTATTCAAGAGACTAGTCTATTGCTTACAGAATTGATATTCGTAAAAGAACAGTCCATGAGATAATTCCTTGTGCAAGCACATTATATATAAAACCAAATACTGTACAAAACAAGGAATAGAATTTGGGTATCATGTGAGCACCAAAGACTATCCAGTCTACTTTTAGCAATTTATTTATGTCAAGAGATCCACAGGGGCAGGACTAGCTGGAGCTTTGTACACACTACGGTCAACAACTTCTTCAGTTCAACTCAGGTGTAGCGAAACAATTCTAAAATGCAAACCTGAAGACTATCAGACACTATTCCATTTTTGCCATAGTCAATGATCAGAGCACCTCCACCATCTGAGCTAATTCGGTCTGCGATCTGTTCGCTAATCTCCATTGCTTTCGGGCAGACTTCAATCTGCTCAACCTTCTCGAGCTCCTCAGGACTAGCCCATTGACAACGTTTGGAGAGGAAAATTAAAGAGGCTGTAGGCTGCGGAGACAGAACAAAGCGAAACCTGCTACGAAGTAAGAATTACACATTTACTTAAGGTTAATAATACTTAACTAAGATTTGTAAAACCTACAATGAGTCTCCTGCGAGATCCACCATCTTTTCACACCAGCCGCGTGACCCTTTCTGCAGGAAAAAATGGTTGTTCAGTGGAACAATTGCACAGTAATTAATCTTTAAGCGTGATAAAATCTGAAACAGACTGCTCACCAACCTGAAATTGATGGATTGGTAAAGCATCAAAGAATTCATGAGCAACAATTATGGTGGGGACTGCAGATAAGACACTTAAAATAAGGCAAACAAGAGAAACCCCAAAAATATGTTTGAAAGACAAAAACTTGAAGATACATAAAGGCAACCCAGTTTCAGAATAAACCATACAACTTGTAGAAGAACGCTAAAGGCAGTCCAACAGAGAGATTACAAGCATCAGAAGCTGAAATGTTTAAGGATCGACATACACCAAGTATCTAAGCTAGCTCATTAGCAAGTTTAAGCATCAGAAGCAAATAAGCAATGGCAGCATAGGTGCTTGAAGATCATCCAACTAATTGGCAACATCATTAGCAAGTTGAGGATAATATATATTGTGCGATTGTGTCACTTTCAAAAGGAAATCGACGATAGATCCGTCTATTTTTGGTCCATGTCATTATGTACTTTAGCACATTCTTTACCACAACAAATGAATCAGACCATACTAATTCCACAAATCTCATGGTATGGTTAAAAGATGAATGACAGTATAAGAGTTTATCATACAAGTGCCTAGATGATATCCACAGTTATACCATAGAGATTAACTACTTAGAAACATGAAATTTGTAGCTGAAAGAGCCCCTTACATCCTGAAGGAACCTGTTCGAGGGAGGCATGCCAATAAACAGGGGCTCCACAAAGCTTGCTAACTGTCCTTTTTTCATCACCAACAGATTCATCTTCACATTTCAGAGTATTGTACTGCACCTTTTGCAATGTAGGGCTACATTCTACCAAGTTAATGTTGAGCGCCTTAGTGAAATTAACGAACTTTGCTGAGCCCTATTGAAATGGACATATGCATTAAGAAACAGGACAGTACAAGTTCGACAAAGGAGAGGCACAAGCAAGAAAACCATACACGAAGTAAATCTGCCAAGAGAGTTCCTCGTCCTGGGCCAAGCTCAATCAAATTCACCTTCTCTGGTTGCCCCATTTGCTCCCACAGACACATCGCCCACACACCAATCAGCTGAGGCAAAGCAGCAAAACATTATTTACTCTTATCTCATAAGCCATAGCATAAGATCAACCAATCGAGTAAATCAACCACTGGACAAATTAAATTCACCATACGAATATAAAACACTTAATACGATTCTGAATATCATAATTTCCAATAATACTATAGTCCTGCAGCAAAAATGATGTGCAATGGAAGTGCACAAACATAAAAGATTACAATGCCTCACAACCATTCATAAATATCACGTGGTGTATCGTTGCATTGTTATACATGAAACAAATGGTCCATCTCTCTGCCATCACTGAATTTCCAAGTGTGGCACATTACATGATTCTAATACCTGTACTCGCAAAAAAGAAGAAGATTCTAATACCTGAATGCTGGAAGACAAACAGCTAGGGAGCACCACTTACCTCTCCAAACATCTGGCTGACCTCTGGTGAGGTGATGAAATCCCCAGACTCCCCAAACACATCGCGATTCATGTAGTACCCAGACTGTGGGTTTGTAAGCACCTCCTCCATGTACTCAGCTATGCTGATCGGCCCACTCCGGAACTAACCTTCCAATGACAACCGAATCACATTTCCACAATGCAAGCAATGGAGATTAAAGACTAATAATGGAGGGGGGAACCATCGATACCTTTATGATGCTCTTAAGGTGCTTGACAAGGTCAGAGTCCGACGACGGCTCGTGAGAGTGCTCTGTCGCATAGATCAAATGTGCATAATCAGAAACACTGGACCCCAATGTGCATGCGCGTAACAGTCTGAAAAATGTGAATGTGTATGGGAGTGAGAGGGGTGAGACCTGGGGGGCTGTATAGACCGGCGCGGTCCACAGAAATGCTGAGCCTGGCGCCGGAATCGCCTGATGATCCCGGGAGCTTGTCATCCTCCGCCTCATCGTCGCGGGCACCGACGGAGGACGGTGGCGGCGAGGACGTCGGCGTGGACGAGAAGCGCGCGAGGAAGGAGGAGGAGGATATGTAAGGAGGGAGGGTCCGACGCGTGGATGAGCCGGCTTCCCCACTGCAGCCGGTGATGCGAGGGGCCAGGCAGCGGAGCAGAGCGGCGGCTGGGCTCCGAAGCATCTCGACGGCGAGACAGAAGGAGTAGCTGAAGTGCTGGTGGGTTGGGCCGGAGCGGGCACCGACGGAGGACGGTGGCGGCGAGGACGTCGGCGTGGACGAGAAGCGCGCGAGGAAGGAGGAGGAGGATATGTAAGGAGGGAGGGTCCGACGCGTGGATGAGCCGGCTTCCCCACTGCAGCCGGTGATGCGAGGGGCCAGGCAGCGGAGCAGAGCGGCGGCTGGGCTCCGAAGCATCTCGACGGCGAGACAGAAGGAGTAGCTGAAGTGCTGGTGGGTTGGGCCGGAGAGGGGGTAGGACGACGACGGGTTTCGCTCGAAAGCCCAATGAGCCTGGCCGGGCTATCACTTTGATTACCCCTCTCAGGCCGTTGGATCGTCACTTTTGGGCATCTTTCCTGCCCTCTCAGGCCATTAGCATTCGTGGCCGTTGGATCGTCGTTTTTAGGCATTTTCTACCATCCGATTGTCTTTTAATTGCACCCCCCGTCGCTTCGTTCGATCCTAACGAGCGCTAACCCTTCTTGGGCCGCTGCTCTGGTGGCTTTTTTCGGCTTCTGAGATTAAATTGAGCCTACCAGGCCTGTAATCGTCCCTTGCGGGGAGGCCGAAAGACTCTCTCACGCGCAGCGGCTGGGGCAAGCACGACCCATCGGGAAAAAGAGCAGACATGCGAGGTGTTGTCATTTCTCCTCCCCGCAACCACTCATGCGCGTGGCGGCCAGGGTTAGTGATGTTCGATCCTCTGATGGGGAGCGGTGCGAGGCGAGCGGATGCAAGACATGGCTGATTTGCGATCAGACCCCATTCCCCCGACCTCTTTCTCTTCCTCCTTGTCTAGCAGGCCATTGCGCTACACCGGTGTCGACTTCGAGCGGCAGCGCACCTTCCTCGACCTCAACCTCGAACAGCGGCACCGCCAAACTCAGCATCCCCTTATGCGTTGTCGCCCAACATGGCCCTCGTGCTGCTGCACTGCTCCATGCTGGCTATAGGTACAACTCGTATTCCCCTCTTACGCAATATGCTCGATCGTATATCCCACAAGCAAGTCATGGCTGCAGACGACCTCACGCAGCATAGTAGGAACAAGAATATCTTAATTACGTGAGAATTTTGACATAATACAAGGCCCCCGACACTGATCGTAGATACACTCAGATTGAATCATGTGAATTCCACAGTATCTACACAATATATTTTTCTATTTATCCTAGGAATCCCAAATAAACTCAAATTTCTCTCTTTCTTTTTTATATGATGGAGTTGTATCTTTGAAGTGTGCACTGTATGTTGCTGATAAGTTTTTAATTGGTTCTTTCTCTTTTACAAAATCGGGCAGAAAAGAGAAGAACAGATCTTTTTTTAGTTTAACAGAGAAAAGTTGAAACATGAAAGACGCTTCAGTTCTGTCAGAGGAATGGATGTCCAAGTATCTTGTGTTTCACTTTGATGGGAAACCGCATCAAGAAAAAATCAAGAATTCGTTGTCTAACAAGGTTTAATAAATGTCTATGCATTTCTCTTATTTATTTTATGTATTCATTGCTCATTTTTTATTTCTCTCTTCATCTTTCGAAATTAGTACAAAAACCAAACATCTTTCCAAACTGCTGTGCAGAAACTAATATTTGAAGCCGATATGAACAACGACGATGGTTATCTGCTTCTTTAATCCATCCAATGTCTCATCAATTCCTTTCTTGGCAGCTCCTGACAAAATACAAATTCATTGTTTCAGAAGGAAGTGAGCCTCAGTTTTACCTAGATCCTTCAGCACGGAATCTGCAAATCATTTGTACGTTTTTTCTTTCTTTTTTCCACAAGATATTTAGTATTAGTTTATATGCATACTACACAGGTTAATGTTCTTTGTGATTGAAGGCTACCTAAATATGCTTACAAATTGCATCCTGCTTGGGTTTTGTTTTCATTGCAGATGCATACTAAAAAAGCTTGCCATTTACATGATGCACTTCGAGCCATTGTTTGACCAATCTGAGCATTTGTTTTATACAGAATTTTACTACAAGCCTTGCTCTATTTGTAGAAAAGGTTAGCACACTGACTTCAACTGGTACGCGTGGGGGTGGGTTTTACAGATCACAAACCTGAATGTGATATTGTCATTTTAAATTGTTATCTTGCCCGTATTTGTCTTCTGTCATCCATCAATTGGCGTACTGTACTATAAATCTTCCTATCACTTTGTTCAACAGAACCCAACTTTTTGTTTATAAATCTTCCTACCCTGATTTTGTTCACTCTACAGTTTAGAATATACTTTGGACAAAAAATGTTGACATTCTCCGTTTGGCTCTTTGTTTAATCATTCTTATATTGTGATGCGGTGCTACATAGAGTTACGTGAGCTTTTCATTGTGTATACCCATGCTAAAAACAGGTATGTTCTCTTAAGTAGTGATAGGCTATCAATTATTATGATTTACATACGCCATACATTTTCGTTATTATATTTATTCATGCATGTGACTCTTTATGCCAACTTTGAGGCCGCCAAGCCAATATCTACAAAATAATTGTCCCTGGGAGTTGCAAGATGCACTGTTTAGTAGTTGGGTCATGATATTGTCTTCTCGGTTGCTAATAACGGAGCACAATACAAGTTGAGGAGAGAATACTCTTTTATTATGATGTTGTTCAAATGCAAACTGATAATATATTGAAGTGGTACATCTGGAAGATAAATCTCCATATGCAGCGATCTTCGTTGAGGAAATCTTGCACTTTGCCCAAAATTCTTGTCATTTAATATGATATACATAGTATAATCGCTACAGTTTGTGCTGGTTGTTCCATCTTGGAAGGCATTCTCCAATTGCAACCAAATTTAGGGTCCATTGGCTCTCGATGTTGTTTGGCACAAATGATTGTGAACCATCACCTGGGCCATGAAAATTTGAACTAGTGATCTCAAGCGAGAAATTCAACGTAGTTGAATTACAGCTTTTTTGACTGCATATTAGCCTCTTCTCCTACAGGAAAAGCTGAATTGCCAGCGCTTATACTCATGTATTACATTATAACAGTGTCCTATTCCAATGTACGCCTACTTTGTGTTGTTGTATAACTACCAAATCACCACGAAATCATTTTATGCTCTATTACTATTGTCTATATAGGCTGCCAGTTCTCCAGGGCAGAATCATCCGAAGTTATGGCAATGCATGTTTACATCACCCACTGTTATCATCTATATGCTTTTGGGCTTTCAATGATCCAACATCTGACAATATTACGGGAAATCATCTATGATGCTGCCTTGATAATGAACAATTACAAAAAAAAGTTCCAGCAACATCTCAAATTTTGAATTCAAACACCTCATGTGTGAGACCAAACTTGAAACAAACTCAAGTTAAGAGTTAAAAAAACCCTGCCCTCTCCTACCATGGCACTACTTGGCTCTTCCCTATTGTCGTCCAAAATATAGGCACTTTGTACAAATTGAACTTTGGTGTTTTTTGGCCACTATATTTTTGATAGCATGTTTTATGACTATATATTCATAAAAATCCTATCATTCCATTGGAAAAATGGACGGGCGCGGCAACGCGCGCCATCAGTGATCTAGTATCCCTCAAAATGAGGTCATCCATATAGCTTTTTTGCGAAACAAAGATCTTTGCATTACTCAGCACAATTTACATGATTACATTCTCGTTCTACAGTATCTCGGACTACTTTCGGACTAGAGCCAGGCCAAACCACCGTTCGGCGTTGTGTTCTCTCAAAATTAGCCAGCAAATGACTAGCCAAATTACAGCAACGACCAGAATGAGTAATGCAAGAGCTTCTTTCCTCCATAGTACTGATGATCTCCTTCGCGATGAACGCATACTTGGACTTGTTGCTAGAGCCTCCAACTATCATTTGAACTGCTTGTAGACAATCTGATTCTATATCAATAGGCAGCATGCTCCACTGAATTGCCAGAGATATCCCCTCCCTTAGAGCTAACAGCTCAGCTTCAAGAACATCATTACACCCATATATATATATATATATATATATATATATATATATATATATAGGAGCTAAAGATTATGGACCCCTCATGATCCCTCAATATCATTCCACTTCCAGCCTCCTCTCCCAACACTGAAGCATCAGTATTTAGTTTCACCCGGCCAAAGCCCGGCTTCACCCGTAGTGCATCTGCAACCACATCTGACTGGAGTCTTGTATGAATCTTCTTGAGACCTGGAACCAATATCGCATTGCCCTTGATCGGATCATCACTAGGGTTGGTATTAATTGCATATAGTGAAGACAGGTAACTGGCCAGGAAACAGACAGATACTTCCATTGGGGTGGCTTTTTAGAGTGCACCAACTTGTTTCAAACAAACCAAATCCTCCAAAACAACATCATCACAAAAGCTATGCCTTCCTCATTTATTTCAGCTAAAAGATGGATGAACCAGTCAGGCCCCACAAGTTTTAGCATGGTCTTGGAAGGGAGGTCCCACACCTTTGCCATCATTTTCCATAGGATCACTGCATGATTGCAGGAGCAGAAGACATGGAACGAATCCTTCTCTTCTCTGCCGCACACTGGGCATAAAAGCGACACTTCCAGCTTGCGTTTAACTTTGTTGGTCTAGTTCGCTAAAGAATCAGTAGCTAGTCTCCATGCGAAGATCTAGACTTTTGGGGGTACCAAACTTTTTCATATGTGATTCCAACCTACTCTCATACCATCCGGAGAAGAGGTTGAAGAATGCTCCTGATGGTATGAGACTTCATCACTAGCAAGGTTATACGCACTACGGACAGAAAAAATACCATTTCTTTCAGGCGCCCAAGCTAGAAAATCCTCCACAAATCGAGGGGACGGACGAATTTTAAATATATCGACAATGTCCACCAGGAGGAAGTACTGCTGTAACTTCTCCGAGTCCCAGTTGCCACGGAAATCCATAAGCTCTGAGACCCACTTAAGGCGGCATCTACCCCGCGCAGAGATTAGTCCACCTCTAG